GTATAAGGTATGAGGATCCATTGAAGGCCTTCCCTCAGTCCTTACACTTAAACAGTTTCTCTCCTGTATGGATGTTCACATAGTACCACCAGGGTGATGCTGGACTCAAAAGTTTGTCCTCAGTGCTTACATTTCTGGGGATTCTGTCCAATATGGGCTTCTATGGGAAAGTGATGGTGCTGAGGACATGGGAAGAGTGATCTTCTTATCACCCTCAGAAGACATCCCACCTGTCTCGGCATCCCTGGGGGGATGAGGGCCAAATTGCTCATTTGAGCCTTTATCAAAGTGTGCAGGAAGAGACATTCCACCAGGGCTGGCTGCATCCATGTAGAACAGAGGATTCCAATTATTAGTCTATGCCATGAGAGTTATCATGTATAAAGAAATCAAGCTCTGCAGGTAGGTAGCTGGTAAGGTACGGGACAATGAGATTCTTGGGGAAGTAATAAATCCAGATGGGGATGAAAGCAATGACTCTGAAGCTAGCCCTGGGGATTAAGAGAGGAACTGGCCTAGTAGTAACGCAGAGAGCTGGACACATGGAACAGGAGCAAAGGCTGGTAAGAACATCAGAGAACAAGGTCCGGCCAACGGTCTACCCCTTGAAAACACGCGAGCAGTGGAATCTCAGCTAGAAAGAAAACCCCAGGAGGCAGTTTCAGAAACATTATTTCAAACTGAGAGTATCAGGCTAGTACAGTAAGTTGTATGAAGTCAATCTAGGTACAATGTCCAGAATTCCAAATGGTCCCCTGAGCACCATCTGACTCATAGATGGATGGAATTTTGCTCTTTCCAATCATAAATGTTTCCTTTTTTACCTCTAATATTAGTAAAGTGACGTGGGTGGGATCCAGGAATGTGACCAACCTTGTGAGTAATCACAGGTAAACGGAATGGTCTTCTGTGATGTGGGGAGCTTGGGAGCTGACCCATATTCCCACTTATAAAAGATTTCATCAAGGTGCCCCTTCCATCCTTTCAAACGACATTCTGTGCACAGTTACGTGCATCTAAACTCTCCAACTGAGACCAGAGCAACTGTAGATCTGGGTAGGGTGTTGCTTGCACATGGGCAAGCTAGGTTCAATCCACAGGATCCTGTAGAGTCTCCCGGAGCACCATCAGAAATAATTCCTGAGTGCAGAGCCAGGAGAAACCACTGAGGATCACCAGGTATTGTAGGATAATTGTCGTCTGCCCTTGCTCCCTGGCCAGTGCCAGCTTATGTTCGTTGATTGCCCATAACCTTTCAATTACCTTTGTCTCCTGATCAGACTTTGACTTGTAAATATTGTCTTTCTCTTCTCCTTAATGTCTTTTGCATGGTTAGCTATTTCAGAGCAATTGCTTTTTGTATGGATACAGGAGGACAGTTACAAAGACAAGCCTAAGCTTGAGAGTTGATGGTCTCCACATAATAGTACTCCCGGACATCTGCTCTCTTGACTGAAGCTTCAGTTGCCCTTCCTTCCTCGATCCCCAAAAGAAGGGTCCGATGAGGGACTAGATGGACCCAGGGCAAGTGGTGAGACAGCTACCCTGGCATCTTAATGGGCCTGGACAAAGTACCATAATGCTTATCTATAAGAGCCTGGTTATGGACAAATTCTGTCATGAATCAAAAAGTAATAACTAAACTTGGACGCTGCAGGGATTAGGAGTGATTGATCGGCCTGAGCAATGTAGTCTTAATCTGTGGTGAGAAGTCCCCAGGAGAGTCACCCACAACCCTAAAAGTGTATATGACTGTGTCCATACAGAATGGTAATCTTTAGGAAGTAAAACTAAATATGTCAATTAAGTTGCTGGTCTAAGGAGAGGAGTAACACACCTTAAGGGCTGCTTTTCCTTCATGGGCTGCAGGTGATGGGGAAGTCTGGAAAACCATTTTTCATGGCGCTTCCCGTGGGGAGGCGTGGATTGGGGTTGTGGTGAGAGAAGATAAAGAGCAGCTTCAGGGAGACATGGGGAATGAAGGAGACTGAGAAAAGGGATGGTCCTCCTCCACCCAGATCCTCTGTCTTCCAGTATGTAGGCATTATACTCACCAACTGTCCCCGGTGCTGTGTAATCCCATCAACGGCCAAGACCCAGAGACTATAAAACCCTGCTCGAGGAAGAAAACAGCGCAGTCTCCTGCCTCCTCATCTGGCTGTCTTACTGGTGCTTTTTGGAGGAGGGTGTGTTGAGTTTTCCTCCCCACCCCGAGCAGAGCCCCTGCACCTGAAGACCTCTGGTTTGAGACACAGCCATGCTTAAGACCACTCTCCAGATGTTCGGACGAGCCTCACGCATAAAGGAACCGGCAGAGAAACCCAGCTGTGCATTGACCTGGGGCTTAGATCTCCAAGCTGCTCCTATTGGGACTGGGCCTCCTCCACCCAGATCTCCCATCTTCCTCTATGTAGGCGTTACACCCACCAACTGTCCCCGGTGTAGTGTAATCCCATCAATATCCAAGACCCAAAGCTATAAAACCGTGCTTTGGGAAGTGCGCGGCCACACAAAATCTTATTATCTAGTCTTACTCTGGAAAAACTGGCAGGCTACCAGATGTATCCTGCCCACACTGCAGCGTCTGGCAAACTCCCCGTGGTGTATTCAATATGCCAAAAAACAGTAACAATGATGGTTCTCATTCTCCTAACCCTGAGCGAGCCTCAAATGTGGCAATTCTTAAAATCTCAGGGGTAGGAAGAAGGAGACATTACTGGGGCCTGCTTGAGTCAATCAATGAACAACAGGATGACAATGATGCAGTGAGAGAAGAGATACAGAGTTAGAGGACACGGCTGCGACTTAGAGAGAAGGCTGAGGGCTGAGAGCTGAGAGTTAAGAGTGGCTGGGGAGATTGGAGACCAGTCACAGAGAGCACTGGAGAGCGAGTTAGAGAGAGGGTTGGATAGAGCTGGGAGAGACAAGAGACTGAATAAATTCCAACTAATCAGCAACCAGCCTGGTCCTCATTCTACTTTCATTGGTCCAAAGCAACAGCTGTCCTGGGTGGAGAAGTGGCTCGAGAGCACCAAATGTGGACAGTGAGAGAGAGCCGCCAGGAGAGACCGGGAACATCTGTGAACGTGTAAATCCTGTTCAAACCCTCACTTCTCATAGGGTCCCCAAGGCCCCTGGAGTGACTCCTGAGTGCAGAGTCAGGAGTAAGCCCAGAGCACTTCTGGCTGTGATCTGAAAACAAAAACACAAAAAACTGAACTGTGGGGGGCTGGACCGATAGCATACCGGGTAGGGTGTTTACTTTGGACACAACCAACCCAGGTTTAATTCTCAGCATTCCAAATGGTCCCCCAAGAACAGCCAAGAGTAATTCCTGAGTGCATGAGCCAAGAACCACCCACCCCTTTGCATCACTGGGGGTGACCCAAAAATAAAAAAAAAGTGAATTGTTTAGTTAATCAGAAAAAAGAACACAACTTTCTCAACTTAGCATAAAAGCATTTTTATGATGGCTACAGAGATAGCACAGACCACGAGTTCCTTGTCTGACACATAGCTGAGCATGGTTCAATCCCTATCACCTCACAGGGTCCCCAAACCTAGATTTATCAATGAGAACAGAGCCGGGGTAAACTCTAATCTCCATTGGTTGTAGCCAGCCAAAAATAAATCAATAAATTTAGGTGTCAGAACTATAGTCTGGTAGGGTACTGCCCTTGTACACGGCTGACCTGTATACCCCGGCACGACACTGAGTACCGTTTGGTACCTTTTGGCAGCAACCATAGGTTATGACCATATGAGCTGACAGTGAGTGGGAGGGAACTTGTCATGAATGCAAAGGACTTAACTTCACAACCTGAATTGCCAAGGAGTGATCCAGGAGCACTGCTGGGTTTGGCAAAATTCCGCATAGCCAATCCCCCTCCTGCCCAAATAAAGGCAATGGGAGTTAACTGCCAACAGAAGAGGTATGAAATGTAGTAATATATTCTGAACGGTCAGTCCTCTGGGTTTGTTGTTTTCTTTTGGGACCACATCCAGAAATGCTCAGAGCTTCCAGGCCAGGTTTTCAGACTATAATTTTACTCCTACGGGTACGTGATTTTATAAAAGAAAAAGAGAATGAAAAATTACACTTGGAGTCAGAGTGACAGTACAGTTGGCAGGGCATATATTCGGTCCCCGGCTTCACATACAGTCCCCCAAGCACTCCCAGGAGTGATTCCTGAGTGCCAAGCCAGAAATAACACCTGAGCATTACCGCTGTGTCCCAAAAACAAAAAAGAGAGAGAGAAAGAAAAAAAATTTAGCCCAAACGAGATATTAAAGTCCATAATTTTGCTCAAAGCCTCCAACTCCTTCATTTCCCCCCAACAGCCATCTGTTGAAAGGGCTCAAGAAATTTCACATGCAAGAGCTTTCAAAGAAGGTATAAACAGGAGAGCACACCAGACTGAAGCAGATGCCAGTCACCTGGAAGCCCAGAGGGCCTTCCCTGGTATCCAGTGACCACTAGTCCCCTGAGCACAGAGCCAGGCACAGACCTCAAGTACTACCAGGTGTGGCCCCAAATCTCACCTCCTCTGCTCCCCAAATAGTGAGATATACCAAAGGAGAGAAGCTTAGAGGGCTGAGCATCTCATTTACCTTTGGGGAACATGACATGGCTCCCCCTGCATCTCAGACACACAAACACAAGAGGGGGATAGTCTCTGACTATCTCCAAGTTTGCAGCAAATGGAGCGGGGGGGGGGGGGGGGGGGGGGAGGGAACGACAGGAGAAACACTCCAACCCCAAAAAGATGCTCAAAGAATGCTCATGTGTCAAGACAAATTCTGAAGTGGGAGCATTGGAGTCATATCTAGTGATGCTCAGGGGACAATATCACCTAGTGATGTTGTGGCAGGGATAACTCTGGTCACCGCAAGAAAGATAAACGCCCTCCTAGCTGTACTACTGCACGAGTCCCTGGGAGTGAGACATATAGAACCTATTGCAGCTGGTCCCTTGAAAACCCCTTTCTGCAAGTACTCACTTCAACAGCAGGCACACCCCTGGTCTTGGAAAGATGGACAGTGGGGATGCTTGGAATCTGGGCAGGTGAGGCAGAAATTCTTTTTTCTGAGGAAATAAAATCACATAGGGTTAGCAAAGCTAAAAAGTTGATAGGGTGCTTTTCTTTCAAGCAGCTAAGCCGGGGTCAATATGCAACAGGACATAGGCTCACCCACTCCAGCACTGCTAAAATTGATACACGAACTCAGAACCAAGAGTAACCCCTGAGCACTGAGTGCTGCTGTGGCCAAAAAAAGTACAATAAATTAAGTAATGAAGACATTTCTGGGGCCAGAAAGATGGTACAGCATGTAGGGAGTTTGCCTTCCATGCGGCCAACCCAGGTTCGATTCCCGAAATCCCATATGGTCCCCCAGCACTGCCAAGAGTGATTCTTGAATGCAAAGCCTGAGTAAACCCTGAGCATCGCTGGGTGTGACCCTAAATATCCCAAAAAGAGAAATTTCTGTGGAAAGAGATTAGAGACACAGTATAGCAGGTGAGGTGCTTGTCTTGCACTCGGCCAAGCCAAGTTTGAATCCTGGCATCCCATATGGTGCCCTGAACCCAGCCAGGAGTGATCCCTGAGTGTAAAGGCAGGAGAAGTAACTGAGTCTTGCAGTTGTACTTCCTACAGACTAAATAATTATTTCACTTAAACGAAAAAAGGTGTGGTGGCCAAGAGTGATCCTCAATTGCATTATTAGACGGTTTAGGACACACTCTGGAAGTGCTCAAGCTACTTACTGCTAAGATTGCATATTTGGTTGCAAGTCCCACTGTAGCACCACCCTGATGCACCCCTCCAGACCGCAACCTGAGTTGGCTTAAAGCTCCACACCTCGGGGCCTGAGTGACAGCACAGACAAATGAGCATTTCTTTTGAAGGTGGCCAACCTGGGTTTAATTCTGGGCATCCCTTATGGTTCCGAGCACCACTAGGAGTGCTTGCTGAATTTAGAGCCAGGAGTAACCACAATGCCTCGCTGGGTGTGACCCAAAATGCAAAATAAATAAATCAAAAGGAAAGAGAAGCTCCCCAGCTCCCTGAATTCACAGAAGCCACTGAATGCACAAGAACCAGTGAAAATCAAAGGCTCTGCCAAATGCTTTTGAGCCTCAAGCATATGAAGAATATGCCATGCCCCTCCCCCCATCCAGCCCCGCCACCCCCCAAGAACGACAGGACAGAAGGGAGGGTGTTTTTTCCTTCATGCTGCTGACCCAGATATGGGGTACCCTGAGCAATCCCATGAGTGACCCCTGAACATTGCCAGGTGGGGCTCAACACTCCCCCACGAGGAAAAAGAATGTGCCCCCAGGTCCCTTTGATGAGGGAATCCTATGCTTTAGCCCTACTCCACAATCGGACTAAGGAACAAAAGGGGGCCAGGAGCAGGATGTCCTGGGGACACTGCTGGGATGACCCACCCACCCCCGTGACTGACCAGGTGCCGGGAGTCGCCCCGAAACTAAGATAACGCTGAGCTGCCCTCAGATGCCCCATCAGATCTGGGGGAGACTGAGGCTCCCTCTAGCTCTGGCACTTTCTGCTTTGTGAGGGGCCCGAGCGATGGGTCAGCAGGGAGGGCGCTGGCCTTGCATCCCGACACCCCAAAGGGTCCTCGGATCCCGAGGGAGGGAGTCCTGGGCGCCACCGGGTAAGGGTCTAAAACACATAAAATAAAATTAAAAATTTTTTTTTCTCTTGTTCATTCGTTCATTGTCCTTGTTTCTGGAACTTTCAGAACGACCTTAGCACTTCCAATTCGTTTTTCTCCTCGACCACGTGCTTTCTCTACCCACCCACCTTTTATTTTGGGGGCTCTGGGGGGCTTTGCTCAGGGGTTACTCCGGGCTCTGGGCTCACCCGAGGCAGTGATCGGACGCTGTGGGGTGCCGGGATCGAACCCGGCCGGCCGAGTTCCCCCCTTACGCATCTTTCTAAGTAAGTTCTCCTCAGTATAAACGACCTTCTTTCCACCAAAATCAGTTTATAAACAAGATAAACCTCGTGGCAGGAGCGCGCGGTGCTTCCGGGTTGAGGGCCCGCCACCCTGGGCCACCGCCACGGAGCGACCCGGCCGCCCACAAGGCGGAGACCGCAGACGTTCGGGCGCTCAGAGCGACCATCCAGGCCGGCGGCGAGGAAAACCGACCTTGGGGAACCCCCTGCCCCTTGGGTGCCTCCTCACCTGCTCCTCGCCTTCCGCAACCAGGAGACCCGTCTGCACTCCTGCGCCGAAAGTCAAGCCCTGCGGATAAAGGTCGCGGATTTTGTGACGTCACCTGCACGGTCGCCAAGATCCTTAAAGGGCCAGGCTTCAAATATTCCTGACCAGGTAATTCCCTGCTCAGACAGGTTCATTTTTGCTCATTTCTGGGATAGGATCAGGTGATCCAGACAGCAGGGGATTGCCATGTCTGAGATAGATAGAAAGGGATGAGATGAACAGATAACACGTTGAGCAGAGAGTCTTTGTATTGACGAAGGAAATAAAATTCACAAAAATACTTTGCAAACAACCGCCAAGGCCATCTCTCTGCGTCCCGGCGTTGATTTATTTATTCGTTTACAACCCTCAGTCACATGCTAGAAAAAGGTCCCCAGGATTCTTTCTGGCAGGTGTCAATGAAAAAGACGGGCTTCAACAAGGTCTCTCACCATTGGGGGCTGAGGAGCTGCCCCTCAAAGTGATCTGGCAGTTTTACATACACATGTCTACACAGAAAGCTGCAGGACAGGGCACAGCACAACACCTGGTTGAGAAGTTTGGGATGGTTGAGACTTCTGCCATCAGCAGATGCGGCATCCTTAAGACCCACAGCCCCCCATGTTGACCTCCACCCCGGGTCATGTTGCCCCATCGCAGAGCTGGAGGTGAAGATGCCCCAAGGATAATGCACTCACACTCGAGACACCTGTGCCATGCTAAATCCCCCCAGTGCAACCAGCAAAGCCTCATATCCTCCTAAAGCCTCTGGAGCAAGGCAGAACCCAGGAACCCACTGGATATGGATGGGGGGAGTAAAAAAAGAACCACAAAAGTGCCCCAAGAGCTTGCACAATCTCATTGGTCACATTATAGGAACTGGAGGTGAGAGGTCCTCGTGTTCTGCCACTAATTGGCCTTCAGTGTCCCCCTTCGAATGAAGTATCACTTGTCCTTTAAACGTGTGCCCGGAGGAGGCCTGATCCACTTGACATCACTAGGAAAAAAGGTGCACATGGAAGACTCCCGTCTGTGACATCATCCATTTCACCAAGGAGACTTAACATGCCAGATTCCAAGTCCAGACAGACCATTATGGCAGCCCAGGTGAATCAGTGCAAGGGGGATGAGCTCGAATCAAAAAGAGCAGAGGCAAGTGCTGGAGGGGCTGGTCACAGAGTTCAGGGCAGCGAGTTAAGGTGGAGTCTCTTAACTGGTCAAACATACAACCAATGCACCCCAATATATCCATCATAAAAACAAAAGCAGGTTGATTCAAAGTAAGACAGGCAAGTAGGTTGTGAATGGGTCCTGGGACAATGAGTTTCTCTGGGAAGTCATTAATCAAGATGGGTGCAGTGTCTCCGAAGCCAGTCCTAAAGATGCAGAGGAACTGGCCTAGCAGCAACCCAGAGAGCTGGAGACACACTGGACAGGAGCAAAGGCTGGGAAGAACATCAGAGACCACTGTACAGTGAACACTCTACCGCTTGAAAACATACTATATAAGAACCTACAAGGAAACCCCAGGACGCAGCTCTAGAAACACGTTTACAACCAAGAGTATGGGGAAAGAGGTTAGTACTGTGGCTTAATGCTTGTGTTAAACATGGTTTTCCTGAGTTCCATTCCTGGCATCCAAAACAACACAGACTCCTAAGAACTGCCAAGTATGGCATGAATTACATAAGACATATTCAATAAATAAATCTATGTATGGACCTACCCTAAGAACGAAGGCACATAGGAGCTAATGGGCACCAAAGTGTACTAAATCATTTTGTGGACTTGGTCTTTTGGGCAGACCGAAAACGGTTCTAATCATTCTGGTGGCTAGTAGGTTTGAGATTTTACCACTTGCAAACGCAACGTTTTGTCATCTTTTCTCCTAATATAACTGAAATGAGAAGAGTAAAATCCAGGAATGTGACCACCCTTTATAGTTAGTCATCACAGCTGATCTTATTGCCTGCTGAGATGGGAGTTTGGGCATTCTGCCAGGTTCCCACCATTTGTTAAATATTTTGATCAAGGGGTCTGTTCCATTCTTTCATAGAACCATCAGAAACCTTTCTGTGAACAGTCAAGTACATTTCAACTATCTCTAATTCACCCTACTAAAGAACAATGACAGGGACATTATCCTAAAATTTTCAGAAATATTTATCCTCAATGCTTAGGGAAATCTAATAAAAATCTGAATACTAGGAGTGCAGAGCTGATACAGTGGGAAGGTGCTTGATTGCACAAGACTGATCTGGATTCAAAGTCCAGATCCCCATATGGATACCTATGTCCTCCCTCGCAGGTATGGATGAGCTCACAGCCAAGAGTATGGCCTGAGAAAAGTAGGTGTGACACCTGAAAACATAACAGAGGAAGGCCTGAAGTGTGGAGGTTTACATCTTTTTTCATTCCAAAGGATTCACTGCAACATCCTGGTTGATCTCTATCATAAAACCCACCAACCGAGGTCTCCGCCTCAAGTCCAAGCAAAAATGAGACACTGAGCTGGAGTGATAGCACAGTGGGTAGGGCATTCGCATTGCATGCAGCCAACCCAGGTTCAATTTCCAGCATTCCATAGGGTCCCCCAAGAACAGCCAGGAGTAATCCCTGAGTTCAGAGCCAGGAGTAACCCCTGTGCATCTCTGGGTTTGACCAAAAAACAAAAGAAAACAAAAAAAGTGACACTGACAATTGTGATAAAGGGGTGGTTTTTGTACCCATTTACTTAGTTCCTATTTAATCAGTTTTTACCTGGACTCCATCATCAAGACCCATTATTTACAGGGAAGAGAGCAATAGCAGAGCGGGTAGGGCATTTTATTTGCATGCGGCTGACCCAGGTTCGATTTCCAGCATCCCATATTGTCCCCTGAGCACAGCCAGCAGTGATTCCTCAGTACAAAGCCAGGAGTAACCCCTGAGAATCTCCTGCAGTGACCCAAAAAGAAAAAAAAGAAAAGAAGGACCCATTATTTACAGGTTAACATACACATCAAGTCCAATACACTACAGGCTAACATAGACATCAAGTGCTGGGGCACTGGCAGAGGAAATAATAATCATTACTATAATCATTATGGTTTGCTATATAAAGTAACTCAGCAGGTGCCATCAGCAGGTGCGGCATCCTCAAGACCCACAGCACACCATGTTGACCTCCACTCCGGGCCATGTTGCCCCATCGCAGAGCTGGGGGTGAAGATGCCCCAAGGATAATGAACTCACACCCGAGAACACTGTGCCGTGCTAAATCCCCCCAGTGCAACCAGCAAAGCTCCATATCCTCCTAAAGCCTCTGGAGCAAGGCAGATCCCAGGAACCCACTGGATATGGATGGGGGGAGTAAAAAAATGACCACAAAAGTGCCTTAGTAACTCAGGAACTCAGGCCTTAGTAGGCGTATGAAAATACACAGTGGCAATAAGTCCTAAGAGTGTACAGAATGGGAAGATCTTTGTGTTTCCCTGAATTGCACTCATCAGTAATTCCCTTTCCTCATAGTACTGAAGTCACCAATTTAATTTGAACTTCAGAACTGTAACATAAAGAATGAACTAGGAGTGTATATTTAAGAGATCAAAAGGTTGGAGCACAGTGTTTGCCGTAGGATCCCCCAAGTACCACACTTCCAGAGAAATTCCTGAATGCATATTCAGGAGAAAACCCTGAGCATCACCCAAGTGGGACACAAAAATGAAAAACAAAATGGTCAAAGGGCAAGCCATGAGGAATCCGGAGATAATGGAGGCATTGTGTATCCCACAATCCCCGGGGTAGATTGAATGATGCATTCAAGGTAAATTGAAATTAAGATTTTAGGAACTGCTGGGCGTTTGTCCTGCAGGGGATGATGGGATATGATCCCTTTCCCTCCCAGGCCCACCTGGAGTGATCCTGCCTGTGGAGCCAGAAGTAACTCCTGGGCATTTCTGGTTATGCCTTACCCTCACCCCTACAAAATAGTACTTGCTTTGTGTAATGAACAGAAAGCGCTATGTCAGGGGGATCAGGTTTATGAATGACAGATGCGAGCGATTTCAGTGATCCCTGTGATCAAGGCTTTCTGTGACTGTAGATGGTTTTTCTGGGCTCACCTCCAGTATCACATGGTCCACTGGTACCACAGGGGGTAATCATCTACCTGGGCAGCACTGGGAGCCTTAGGATTTGCAGCTTTGGGGAGGGAGACACAGTCAGAAGTGCTCAGGGCTTATTTATTCCTGCGTTTGCATTCAGGAGTCACTCCTCTAGGGCCAGGGTTGAGGGCTCCTAAAGTCCTAAAGTCCAGCACCTCCTAATGATTTGGAGCAAATTGATGTAGGCATGCAGGCAGATAGAGAAGGTCCCCCCTCCCAAGGCAAAGGCAGTAAATTTCCTTGGAATAGCTCTGAAGTTAAGAAGGCCAACCTTGCACAAAACAGGAACTAAGGCCTGATCACACCCTCACCTATGGCCAGCAACAGACCCAGAGAAGCTCCTGCAGAAACAAAAGCCAGGAAATGAATTTCAAAGAAGATCATCACCACTCCCAACCTGCCTAGGCAATGGGACTTTGACCTAGGTAAAAGCCTAGATTGGATTCCTTTCTGTTCCAGGGAGACTGGTCATTGGCTTTCCCAGACATTTGCGGGAGCAGGGCAAGTGGGGGATCCCCGTGTGTGGGAAACAAAGTCGGAATCCAGAAGGATATGGGGCCCGCCACCAGTGCTTCCGAACCCCTGCCCCAAAATATATAGTCAGATCAGGAGGTGTGGACCAGGTGGGGCGGGGTCGGGGTTGGGGGATGACCCCAGACCTCAATGGTGCTCCTTGTTTTAAGGGGCCCATGTGCCAAGAGGAGCCACCCCTGGTACATTCGACTCGCTTGCACCCACCAAGGGCTGGAGGGGATGAGAGAGTCCAGCATCTTCCGGCCTTGCCCGCATCCGACTGGGCAGAGAATAAACTGGGGATCTGTGTCCGAGTGTCCCTGCTGCCTGGGGCTCGCCCCACTCACTCTATGTGGAGGCACA